GATATTTCAATTTTGTGTCAGCAAGCACGAAATGTTTAGAAAGAGGTTTTGGTATGATAATGAGAGTCTTATCAATTTTCTTTGATGGTCCTGAGTATCCCAAGCCTCTGCTTCCATTTCTACTTACACCATAGATCATTGAAGCCATTTTGCTTCTATTTATGCTCTTAGCTATGAAATGTTGAAAAGCTCTATCATTTATGATTACTTCGTCAGTAACATATGTGTTAGAGAAAATCACTTCTTCGAATCTAAACACTTTACTTTTCAGAGCAATGTTTGATTTTTCTAAAAACAAATATTTTTTCATTTAAGTTAGAAATATTTTGCTCATTTATTGTAGTGTTCTCAGAAATAGCTACAAAACTCTTTTCAAGATTTTGTGTTCACTTAGAAGAATTTGATATCTTTTCGTTAATTCAGATAAGCCAATTTCAAGTTCAGAATAAGATAAGGAAGAAAGTACCTCTTGGTCGTCATCAGATTCTGACTCATCATCAAGTGTAAGTTCGTCTTCTGATGCTACTTCATTCGTACTAGTCTTTATCATGAATTCTACGTTGGCATGCTCTTTATCATAATCTTCATCTTTTGATTCTGAATCATCCCATGTTTCCATGAGACCTTTCTTAGCTTTGCATGCCTTCTTAGGTTTCTTATCCCTTTTTAGCTTAGGGCATTCATTTATTTAATGTCCAGGCTCCTTGCATTCAAAGCATGTGACTTCCTTTTCAGAAGCTTTCTTCTGACCAGAAGTGAATTCATTTCTTCCATATGTCCTTCATTGACTTCTAAATTTTCTTTGTCTATGCTTCCATATTTGACAGATTCTTCTGGATATCAATGAAAGTTCCTCATCATCTAAATCTCCTTGAGATTCTTATGATTCTTCCTTAGATTGATAAGCCTTGATCTTTCCAGAAGTAGACTTTAGAGCAACGGATTTTACCCTCTTCTGAGGTTCATCTTGATCAAGATCTATTTCATGACTTCTTAAAGAGCTAATAAGCTCCTCAAGAGTGGTGTTGTCCAGATCCTTTGAAAGTTTCGAAGCAGTTACCATGGGTCTCCATTTGACAGGAAGAATTCTGATAATCTTCTTAACATAATTTGCTATTAAGTAACCTTTATTCAGAACCTTAAGTCCTGCCACAAGAGTCCCGCCACAAGGCATACTTGAGACTAAACTGATCCACCGTGATACCAGTTTCAACACACTGATAGCCTCAACAATAGAGGTAGGGGTGATCATAAATGGAACACCATGAATACAGGAGTAGATTGAGCAACCATCATCACTCACAGAAGCATACTTCAAAAATTCTTTACAAGGTTTGGATAAATGGGTCATGCAGCATTGCAAAGTATCTAGACCAACCTTGTATTTATATGCTCAAGGATATGTTGAGACATGCAGCCCTCATTTGAGGAAGGTTATGTCGTCTCTCAACAATGACCTCCAGGATTTCCTCATTTCAACATAAAGTTTTTGAAAACACATTGACTAAAAAATGAGAAGGATGGAGAAGAGAAATAGAAAAGATGAAGTAGTAGGTAATGAAGAGGGTGAGCAGGCTGAAGCGGTATAAATAGGATAAAGGAAGCTTGACTAATAGGAGAAATGATTTGGTTCAGAGGACAATCATACTTGAGACACACAAAACAATTAATATTTAAGCCAAACAAAGAGAGAGATAATTGAAAATAAAATCTGACATGGGGTAAAGTTGTTGCACCCCAAAATTTACCCTCTTGATTTAGGCTTATGTTTCACCATAATCATCATGTTGCATTGCATTCATTAAGTGTGATGGGATCAAAGTACTTTGGTTGACAAATCTTCCTCAAACTTTGGAAGTTAATTGTGTTGACAAGTTGCTCAAGGATATCCTCATTATCTTAATCTTTGGATCTTTCAAGCCCAAAAGATCTCTCATGTCTCAAGACATCTCACTTGTTTTATTGGTTTATCAAGAGTTGAATGTTTGCAAAGATTTGAAGAGAAATTCATCTATCGCCTTCATCTGATGAAATTAAGGTTTTTGACCTATCATGTGATTTAAAGCTTGTCTAAGCCATTTTCTTGAAGCATCTTCTTCTTATTATCATTTGAGGCATCTTTCTTCAAATATTTTCTCAAGAGGTCCAGATGAACTAGGTTTTTTGAAGCTTGATTATCATCCTCCTATACAGATGACCAAATTAGGGTTTTGGATTTAATCAGGAATTCTTCAACTTTTTGATTCAAATTTGATTCCATGTGTTTATATATGATATTGAGCATATATAATTTGAATATTGTCCATCAATTTGAATTGGAAGAGGTTCAATTGATCAAAAGGGGCAAAACAATCATTTTGATCAAAAGTCAACCAATGTCAAAGTTGACCAAGTGGACTTTTGGTCAACCATCAATTCAAATATCCTATTTTCATATTCTATGATCACTGGTGTCATAAGATTAAGATAAGAGGTCAAATTGGAGATAACTTGCTCAAGAAGTCACTTGGATACTTAGAAATTTTTCTAAGTTCTTAAGTCCCTATAGTACTAAACTTTGGACATCTGTAATTTTCTCATTTTTTATCAAATGGAGACAAACCATATATATTCAGAAAGCTCTTGAAAAATACTAATAGATTGTCAATGTGTGTGGAAAGCTCAAAAGTGAACCATTTAAGAGAAAATCAAGTTGGAAGTTCTGGCCACAGGAGATGTCAAGCTGCCTTCTCATTGGCATGTCATGCGCGTAATTTTGACAAACAGTTGGTGTTCCATTTTCATGGCTTGATTTCTTTTTATTCAAGCATCAATTTGAAAATCTAATTGGAACATTTTGTAGTTTGCCATGAAAGCTTTCCAATGAGCGTGGAATCATTCAATTTGGCCCAAGATTGATCAAGATGTGATCATTGAAAGTCATGACCTCAAAACTGATTTGCATCCCCCATGCAGGCCATGCACGCACGTGCAGTCTGCCTTACCAAGTCTCACTTCTTCTGGTTTTTCTTTGTGCATTGGTGTGGAATTAGGGTTTTTGGGGTTGCAAGGTTTTCTTTATCAATGAGCTTCAAGATCAAAGAATTAGGGTTTCCAACCTCTCGTGCCCAATCTTGATGATGTTTTAACTGAAGATCATATGAATTAGGGTTTGTCTTAATGGCTATCTTGAGCATCATTTTCTAGGAACTCCAAGCATGACCTTCTTCTAAAGACTTCTCCTAATCATTTGCTTTACAAGTCAAGGCCAAATGGCTTTCTCTTCAAAAATCAAGAGGTTTGAACTTAGGCATGAAGATTATTTTGAGGCTTGTAAATCAAGGTTATACCTTTTTGTTTGACAATGGGTTAAGGGTGTTGTTGCATTGAGTTCTCATCAGGTCAAGAGGTATCCTATTGGTTGAGCTTAAGGTTTCAATATCCATCATTCATCAACTAGGATATTTTCTTCAATCAATTGTTGCTTCAAATGAAAGTTATTATGAATATGGAAGTCGAGTTTCTCATTAGATACAAGTGTGGCATCCAAGTGGATTTTGATCTAATTTCTTATGGAATCATGATATGATATACTAATGTTGATTCAAGGCATCACATGAGCAAGATTCTTGTCTTCAGTCAAAGTCAACTTTGGAAATTTGAATTTTTACCAAAGATGAACCTAATATTCATCTAATATGCCATGGGTTCAAAATTGCCTAAGGTAATTAGATAGCATGATTCAAAGCTTAAGAGCACATGGATCATTTATGATATCAATAGGTTAGGCATCACCCAAGGACATTGAAAGAATCATTCAAAGATTTCATGGCAAAATAAATAAATGAAAAAGGAAGCCATTTGAATAAGACAACATTCTTCTGCATGATTCAATGGAATTTGCAAGATTCCTGTGGATTATTCATGGAGTTTTACATCAAGTAAATCATAAACTAGCATGCTGTTACATTCGGAAAGTTTACAAAAGGAGAAGAATTAAAAAGCATGCTCCTAAAATTCCTAAAAGTTTCTAAGTTCCTAAGCATTAGCTAATCTTTATAATCTTTCCACCACTTTGACTTCTTCTTTTGGCTTTGCTTCATAACCATGCACGTGTTCTTCATAATCAATATTCATGCTTCATCTAAATTCATGGCCAATCAGCTCAACATGGTTCCAAACAACATGCCCTGCATTAAACCATCCTCATTGTCATACCAGTCCGTAAACTATTTTCCAGCAACACCTTATTTCTGATCCAATTCCCTGTGTTTCGCAACATAAACCAGTTCAAAATCCGCGCATTGCAACTTCAAGCCATGTTCAAAACCAATACAGCCCTACATATTGATTCTTGCAGCCAAAAGCAATTCACGAAGAAAAAATTAGTAAAACAGCAAAACAAAGAAAGGGTAGAAATTGTAATAGAAAAATAGAAAAAATGTTAAGTTCAACTGTATTGGTTGAGAAGAAGGAAATCAGGAGAAAGAGAAAAAAAACATTATCTAACTCCAATCTGTGACAGAATTTTCTAACAGATTCTCAACCTTCCTAGCTAATTGTGAAAATAGAACCCTAACCATATAACTAACTTCCAATCGAGCAATAACTAACTTTTTTTATCTAACCTAATTTCTAACTAATTTCACAAAGCTTTACTAGACAACTAACAAAAGTATATAACCCGTTTCTAACAGATTTTAACCTCCTAACTGCTTCTAACAAACTTCTAGCAGAGATCCATAACAGAATATAACAGTCTGAGAAGAATCACCAAAACCAGAAAATAAGGCTTCTCTTTACTCTCTTCATTCTCGACCTTCACCTCTGAAGGTCCTTCTTCATCCTTTGTCTGCCTACTGTCTCTTACGCACCTTCACCATAACCACCCGATCTTCACCTACATCATAACTGAATCCTCAACATCACGAATCTTCATCTCTGTTTTACACATCATAGCAACTACTTCTTCAATCTTGATCTTCATTCTTGACCCTCCTCTCTGCATCATCAAGAACGCAATGATTCATCATCTTCGCGTTGCATTTCAATCTTCAACCACCATCAACAATCTTCTGTCTTCAACAAATAAAGCTTCTACACTGCTCAAAAGCCTCACACGAATCAATAACTTGCATAGAAGAACCAAGAGGAAGAAATTGAAAAAGAAGAAAAGAAGAGCAATTATATTACCTTACCTCTGGTTTTCTATTATCTCCTTCCAAGTCACGAGCATAGGTTCCAATTTCTTCTACTTTTCTGTCTAATTCACGTACATCACCTTGCTTGAATTTAAAAAATCCATCTTTAGCGTTTTGTGCGAGTGTGAACGAAATTGAAGGTTGGGGAGGACTCGGTTGGAATCAGTGAGATAATGATGTAAGGTGTGTGTTTGTGGCGGCGCGGTGCTGCGACGAATGTGATGATAGTCGCATATGCGAAGAGAATGAGACGGAGCAACGTGAGGCAAGGTTGAGAGTTGGACTGAGATCTTGATTGAAGAATAAGCAGCCGTGGTGTTGTTGATGAAAGAAGGAAGAAGAGGATTGTGTTTTGTGAAGAAGCTGAATAGTCACATATCACAACCCTAAATTCCTCTTTTTAATGGATTGTTTTTTATTGTTAATTCACTGATTTGTTTTTTACAATTAATAATGAACTGAAACTGAATCAAGTGTGGGTGTGAGGGAAGAAGACTGAACCACCCTTATGCATTAGGCCCGCATCAATTTGTTGTGGAACACATAAGAGTGTTTAATGGACCAAATTGCATCCCTTAGGTCCATTAACATGAATTTTTTGGAGTCTGAAGCTAGTAGCAAAAACAGCCTTCTGGACCCTCATGTTTGGGCCTAGCGCCCTGCTTCTGCACCCCCTAAAATCCAATTTTCACTCCTGACACTTTCTAATTGTTTTAGTTTTTTCTTCTTTTAGTTTAAATCTTCTTTTAAACTTTCTTAACAAGAATTAGTGAGTTTTAGGAGATGAGAAAAAAATTATAAAATCAATAAAACTAGTTAGAATTTCTTAATCGATTTTAGGAATGAATTCTTTAGTTTTCGATAGAATTTTCCTCACATAAAAAACTAATAAAAATGCTTTTTATTTTAATTTTTATTCATATTTTCATATCATCGTGACTCGTTATTTTTGACGCGTTTGTTCATTGTGAAAGGTACATTTTTTATGCTTTTGGTCATGTAACATAACAACTTGTTATGTGATCGAAGCATATGGCTTATGCTGGCTTCTGATGCGACACGCCTTATTTCTCATCGTCCTGAGAAATTCATATCACATTATATGTTATCCATATGCATGTGATATTTTATGATGCTTTATGCAGGAACTTCTGATTACGCGTTGCACTCGCAATACGCGTTTGCTTTTGTCTTAGTTGGATATCATTTTTGACTTTGTTTGTTTCTTGGTGAAGCTTGCTCGACGTGTACTCCCTGCTTCTCCATTGCTTTCGTCCGTTTTCGATGATACACTTGCTTTTGGTAGTCGCCGCTACTACTTTTATATTTCTCCACACTTTATCACATTTCTTTACCGCTTTTCTAGAGATCATGAGAAGTAGGGCTTTATTGCTTTCTGATGCCATGAGAATTACGGTAGAGATTTGTGAAGGGGATCTCTGTTGCTGATCATGTCAGGAACCCCTCTGGTATATTTTAAAGACCAGTATAAAGATATTCTGCATTGTTTGGCATTGTGTGCTACTTGTGTGTGATTTGTTTAAAACCCTACCTTTGCGTAGGTATTTTACAGGTGTGTTTACATTTGTGCTTACATATGTTACAAATAATAAGTCCTCAAAAGGAGGCGAGCAGAAAGGGTTTGCAATCAACCCCCGCATTTCGTTCGTGTTATCCTTAACTCGTAACATACCACGATGCTTTGGAGTTGTGTCTACTCTTGTTATCGAGTCGTCAAGTGGAAAATGGTTTCTTAATCAAACCCCCACACTTTGTCAGGAGTTCGTATTGGTCGATGCTGACACTCCGTGATTGTTCATATTGCCTTCTGTCGCCTACCTCGATCTTCTATATCTTGGTTAGGTTGTCAGTCGCTTTGGATATCACATTTTTGTTTTACATCCCATTCCCGCTTGTTTGCTTCGGGTGATCCGTTCCCATTAGCTAAAGCATTTCTCTTATTTTACATTTCACTCCTGCTTGTTTGCTTCGGGTGATCCACTCCCCTTAGCTAAATCATTTTGATTCTTTTCTTCACCATTTCATTTGTGTGTCTTCGAGCTTGCCTGTTTTTTATCCTTGTACATACCATGTTCCCTTAGGATGTGCATGTTCCTTTCGGATGCAAGTTAGACCTTAGGTTGCAAACCATGCCTGATAACATTAGGTAGGCGTTCCCTTTCGAAACTCGACCTTAGGATCAATCATTGTATGATAACATTAAAAATAGATTTAAGGTAGTTTCCGTTAGATGTTTCTCTTTATTTTTGCATTCTTGCATTAAAACTAAAACTTTGTTTTTCTTAGCAAAATCATAAAACATCTTATTCACACTTAAACCCTTTTTCAATGTAACAAAACACAAACCAATCAAATATGGCATCTTTCCTTGAGGACGTAACTCAAAACCATTTTTAGGTAAGGATATGTTAATTTACTTTTGTGCCAATGCATAAGTCTCCAAAGGCCGAGCTGCGGCAGAAGGAGAAATTAACATTGTTCATAAAAAACAGAAAACAAATAAAACATGTGAGCCGAACTACAATAACTCTAATTCCTCAAAAAGGATACATAAGCATTGGGGTAGCGCCCAAGTGAGCATAACTTTATTTTCCCTAAATTATTTTCTCATTTCTTTTGCATGCATTCTTCCTTAGTAGTAAACAGTAAGCATATATTAGACACACCGATAAGGTAGATCACAAGAGTGGATACCGTAGAATATTATGGGCTTGTGAGGTGCTAATACCTTCCCCTCGCGTAACAGACTCCCTTACACGATCTCTTGGTCGCAAGACCGTGACTTCTCCCTTCTCAGGTTTTCTCGATGTTTACCTTTCCCTTCATGTGGGATAAAATACATTCGATGGAGACTTCATTGTCTGGTGATTTTCAGTCGGTTGTTTCAGTTGGCGACTTCACTGGGGATTGATCGACCAATTGTTGGTCTATTCTAGAGTCGCTCCTAGATCTTATTTTCTTCTCTTTGGGTGTTTATTTTTATGCTTTCAGTTTATGTTCATTGATACCTGTTACTTGAGCATCATGTTTGCATTTTAGTATTTTCCATATACTGCTGCTGCGTTGTCTCTGTTTCATGATGGATGGGTGTTACTATGAGGTAAAAGGCCCAATACCCAGGCCAAGTGACAACCATAGGAACCCAAGGAATAGGGTGGAACATGAACGGTTAGTTGACTTAGGTTTCACTATTGCCGTCATGTCGTCCATGCTCATATGAGGTATAAATGAGGGGCTATCATTTTCATGTAGGTGATACGACGATAGTTTTTCAGAAGTACCCTCAATTCTGGGTTACCTTTGACCTTACTCAGACCTAGTCTTTACCCGTGAGTGGGGAGGGGATAATCTTTACAGGTATAGATGGTGACTACGCTCTGATGGTGATCATTTTGTTCTGTTGATGACTATGAGGTTCTCAAAGTTACTTTCTGAGTTTATGATCTAATGTTCATAAGGTTCTTTTGGGTTATGTTCCGAACCTGTGATCTCGGTACTAGCAGACTATGTAGAGACAGTACAACAGAAATCAGTATCATGGAAGTAGTAATCCCATGATCACTTGCACTTGCATCATAGCATGTTTACTTTTTAAAAGAAATGTCAGAAAAATGAAACTATATATTAACCTTGCATGTGCATGTCCATTCCGGGGTATCTCACGAAGTTATAGTTTTCGTCAGTAATGTCTAGCAACAGTTATGTTCCCAAGAGGACCTAAAGAGACAATTTTACTAACCAGTTCCTTCTAAGTTCTTGGCCTTCTTTGAAGAGTTTAAAATACCGTTCAGTCCATCCCAATGGAGAGGCTTTCCATGAAAGATATGGTGGCATTTTGACTCCGATAGATTTTCGGGTTGATAATGGAGCTCCTCGGACTCTAATTCAGTTTTAAGACTATGAGTTTCGCTTTTTCACCTTCCAGGACTATCAGATCGCTCTGACTTTGGAAGATGTACTCTCATTTGCTCAAGATCACCGAACACATGTTGTTTGTTGTTGTTCCAAACAACTCCAATCTTGAAGTTGTTGCTAAGGAACTTCATTTGGGCCTTAGTGATGTGAAATAGAGATGGAGAAAGAATAATAGTCTACCCTTGGACTTTATTTGGGCACGTTCAATGTATTGTTAGCTGCTGTAGTCTATGACACGAAGAGTATGCTAATTTGTTGACTCGGTTCCATAGTTTGGAGATCATGATAGTCAAGAGGGATGAGGTGATTCAAAGTTTGGTTTTGAAGCCCGGTGTGGAAGAGATAAATCAGTTTGTGAAAGGGACTATTGCCTGGAGTTTTGAACACTTGGGGCACAATTTGTTGCATTCTTTAGAGCTAGTAGATTAATTATTGTATTTCCCATCTTTATTGTTCCGATTACCACCAGGCTTGTTGGGCGGAATCGCTTATCTTGTACTTTGGAAACTTTCTTGTATTGGACTCCATTGGGATTCCTCCCATTTGCGTTACTATGTGGGACATTTTCTTATATGGTCGTTCTTATTATCACGTTGCTTGATTATTACTAACGTTGATTGAGTTGTGAAAACCCGGAATGTAATCATTTCATGCATCATACATATCATGCATTTCTTGAACTGCAGGTTTTTCTGGATGAAATTCTTATCTGTTGGCTTTGCTTCTTATTATCAGAATCTATAAAAAAACTTCCTTACATCCTTATCGCACTCGAGCCAACAAGTTAAGGATTATGGAGCAGATTGAGCTAAACCAGGCTACACTTCATAAAGACATTGACACTATGGGTGATCAAGTGAATCAGCTCATGGAAACTCTTCATGTCATCATTCAGGGGTAGGAAGAGCTCAGGCTGAGTGTTACCAAGTTGGTTGATGGTGCCTTTATGTCCGAGAATGGTGGACCCAAGACTAGCAATGGGGGAATTCCTAAAGAAAACCCTCAGATGATTGTGGATGATCACCATGACGTCATTGATCTCGATGGCCCTCCAAAGGATTCTATAGCTGATTTGTCTGAAACTGCCAAAATGTATAAGGCTTTGGAAGAACGTCTGAAGGCTATGGAGA